TCACATTTAAAATGTAATGTGAACGTTCACACAAAAAGATCGCATTTTTTCAAAAAATCGGAACTGAGCATTAAGACCTGCAGTGTGAACGTAGCCATGAACATGTTGCTACTATCGGGAAAGTTGTACTTATTCTGTCGTATCAACTAGTTCTGGCGATGTTACATGCTGTCTGCAGATGTAGAGAAATAAATGCAATTCTCTTCACGTTACGGGAATAACTGAGAATACGCTGAAGGCGGGAACTGGTCCAGTTGCAGTCGCGGCTGCAGTCACTTTGGTACCGGTCCAGTACCGTTCAGACAGCGATAACAGCTGATCAACCATGTGAGGTAAATGTTCGCTACGTCAGAACGTATTCGGCAAATGTGTTTCCATCTCTCCTTTTGCGCATCAACTCTTTCTAAAAAAAAACACCTCTGGTGAGCATATCAACTTTCGAATCATGCCGTTTCCATTCACCTTTTCTGATGCGATACTTCAAAATGTGCATTAAAAAACYTTGATGGAAACATGGCTTGTGACAAAGCTGAAGCTGCTGAAGCCGGGGCTGCATCTTCCAACAAGACAACCACCCTAAACACTGCTCACAATCTACTGAGGCCTTCATGCAGAAGAACAAGTACAACGTTCTGGAATGGCCATCTCAGTCCACAGACCTGAATATTATTGAAAATCTGTGGTGTCATTTACAGAGAGCTGTCCATGCTCAGAAACCATCAAACCTGAATGAACTAGAGATGTTTTGTAAAGAAGAATGGTCTAAAATACCTTCAGCCACAATCCAGACTCTCATTAGAAGCTGTAGGAAGTGTTTAGAGGCTGTTATTTCTGTGAAAGGAGGAGCTACTAAATATTGAGATAAGGTTATTTATGGTGCCCAAATTTATGCACCGGCCTAATTTTGTTTAACCAATTATTGCACAGTTTCTGTAAATCATAAAAACTTCATTTCACTTCTCAAATATCACTGTTTGTCCCCTATATGATACATTTAACTACGTTTTTATCCAAACAAATGATTTATAAAAGGTAAATCAGGAAAATTAACAAGGCTGCCCAAACTTTCGCACCCCACTGTATGCATACACAGACAAACATATTTTCACTCTGTCTTAACCTTTGGTGACAAAAAAAAATAAATAAAAAACAATAAAAAAAACACAAGAAATAAAAAATACAGATCTTAAATTTGCAGTAGAGCATTTTCACTGAATTTAGATGATAAAAAAGTTACATAATCTGAAAAACCCTGTAAATCAAATAAATCAGTGTGACTCACCACGCTGTGTATCTGTGGTTTGCGTCTCTTTGCCAGGTCTATGATGTTGTTCCCATTGTAATAGAGGTTCTCCATGCAGCCCAGGAAGTTCTTCCTCAGAAAAGTGCCAGGTTTACCAGGAAGAGGAATGCCTCCAAAACTCAGCTGTGAGGACGAGAGAACAAATATCATCACAACAAGCAAAAATCAATCTTCATTTGTCTCTGACTTTTATAAGAAATATGAATTAAAACTCAAACACAGATTCACTAACGGTTAGTGTGGTGCGATTTTGGGTTTGGGTATTGTTTTAAATC